GCCTGCATGTAGGTAAGTGCACCTGTGTTGTGCAGTGCCCACAGAGGACAGAAGAGGCTGTTGGATCCCCCTGGAACTGGAGTTATGGACAGTTGTTAGCTGCCATGGGGGTGCTAGGATTCGAACCCGGGTCTTCTGCAAGAACAGTCAGTGTTCTTAACCACTGAGCCATCTCTCCCGCCCCCATTTTTCTTTTTAGATAGGGGTCTTTTTGTTTTTGTTTTTGAGACAGTCTCCCTGTGGCTCCAGCTGGCCTGGAACTCCCTATGTAGACCAGGCTGCCCTCAATCTCACAGAGATTGCCTGCCTCTACTGGGATTAAGGGGTACACCAGCATACCTAACTTAGGTGGGGGGTCCTACCGAGTCACCCTCAAATTTCTCAACAAAGAATCAGAAGTTCAAAGATAGTCTCACATAGCAAGTTTGAGAACAGCCTGAGTTACATGGGACCTTGTCGCAACAAAACAAAACAAAACAAAACAAAATTTGCCTCAAGCTACATTTATATGTCCCTGGAGTAGGTTAGTCCATCATTGTTCCCATTTTAAAAAGGAAAAAAAGGTTACATGACTTGCTCAAAGTCATGATAGTAGGCTGTGTGGGAGCTGGAACACTGTGACTCAACCCTGGATCGTTCAGATTATAGGTCTGCCTAACCTTTACCCAGTGGACTGATTTCTCTGTCCCTAGACCTGTCCTTTCCCCCACAGTCTAGCTTGCACAAGGCTCTCTGAGTTAAATCCTTCAATACTGCCTCCAGGATAAGAGTAAATCTTAGCCTTAGGCTCATTTTACTGTAGGGCAAAATACACTGTCTTCTAACCTTACTACTCACATGCCTCTGACTCTTGTGATTAATCTGCTCAAACTAGTGGAACAGAGTGCCCCTAAGCAAAGTCTTCTCTAATTCCCTTACCTCTTTCTCATCTTCTGAAATCTTTTCTTCTTTGAGCTTAAAGTGTTTTTTAATATTTTATTTTATGTGTATGAGTGTATTGCCTGCATGTATGTAAGTTTGCGTGTGTCACACAATGTCCACGGAGGTCAGAAGAAGGAACTGAAGTTACAGGTGGCTGTTAGCTGCCATATGGGTGCTGGGACTCAAACCAGGTTCCTCTGTAACAACAGCCAGTGCTCTTAACCACTGAACCATGTCTCCAGCTCCAGCTTAAAGTGTTTTATGGAACCTTTGTTGTTTTGGATACTTTTTTTCAGACAGGCTCTCTGTAGCTCCAGCTCTAGACCAGGTAGGCCTTGATATGGAGATCTGCCTGCTTCTGCCCTCCCAGAGTGTTGGAATTTAAGGTTTTTTTTTTTTCTGACAGAGGGCCTTGCTGTCTAACCTTGGCTGGCCAGGTGTTGCTACGTAGTCCATGCTGGGCTCAAACTCATGGCAAACGGCTGCCTCAACTTCTTGAGTCCCAGCATTACAAGCTTGAGCCTCACACTCAGCTGGCTAGCACCATTTTCGTTATAAAATGTGCATAGATTTTCTATTTTAACCATTTGAAATGCACAGTTTAGTGGCATTGAGTACATTCTCACTGTTGTGCAGCCATCCCCACTATTCTAGAATGGCTCCTTTGTTGCTATGAAGAACCACCATAATCAAAAGCAACTTGAGGAAGGAAAGGGTTTATTTCATCTTATGGCTTACAGTCTATCATCAAAGGAAGCTACCACAGGAGCTTGGAGACAGGAACTGAAGCAGATACCATGGAGGAGCACTGCTTACTGACTTGCTCAGCTACCTTTCTTATACAGCCCAGACTCACCTGCCCAGGGATGGCACCACCCACAGTAGGCTGGGCACTTTTACATTCACAAGCAGGCAAGAAAATGACCTCACAAACATACCCACAGGCCAATCTGATGGAGGAAATTCCCAAGTTCTGTCTTCTCAGGTGTTTCTAATTTGTGTCAAATTGACAAAAACTAGCCAGCACAACCACCATTCATTTCTAGAGGATTTTTTTCATCTAACTTCATTTTTAAAGTTAGTGAATTATTTTGTCTTTTTTTTTTCAGAGCTGAGGACCGAACCCAGGGCCTTGCGCTTGTTAGGCAAGCACTCTACCACTGAGCTAAATCCCCAACCCCCAAGTTAGTGAATTATTAAGAGCACAGTGCATTCTGCCACACGGTAGAGCTACCTGTCCAAGTGCCTGATCTCTCCTGTGGTGTAAGTTCTTTTGTGGCAAGTTCTATGTCAGACTCATGTTTGGAAAACCCTTGAAGTCAGATTTTTAAAGCTCTAAGACATTTATTTATTTACTGGGGGAGGTGATGTTATATGACAAATTGAAACATTCCTTCCAGGATGGGGAGGCTCATGAGACTCAGGAGGTAAACGGAAGGTAACATGAGTGGAAGAAGAGAAACTAGGAATGTGTTCTACAGCCCCTTCCTAGCAGTATGAAAAGGAGTAAAAAAATGCAGGGGGTTGAGACTGGACCTGCCAAGATGCAGAGAAGTGATTTCTCAGACCTATTGAGCTGCCTACAGGCTGTACAGAGAGCTCTGGGGCTGCAGCTTTCACGAGTCTTCTCCCATGATAGGGTCAGCTTTTCCGTGGTGCAGCTGCCTGGTTCTTATAAGTAACTCCTCACCCATACTCCTGTTAGTAACGCCAATAACAACTCATTGATTCACCAACTTGGACATTGGTATAGCCATTACTTTGTTCTGTCTTAGGTTCCCTTTCTGGGGTGAATAGATTTGTGTGTGTGTGTGTGTGTGTGTGTGTGTGTGTGTGTGTGTGTGTGTTTTGCATCTCCCCAGAAAAGGTCTGTCATACAACAGGCACATTCCATATCAAGCAATATCAAGCATGTGGAAATCAGAAGACAACTTGCTGGAATTGGTTCTCTTCCTCCAATCATGTGGGTTCCAAAGATAGAACTCAAGTCATTAGGCTTGTTAGCAAGCTCCTTTACCCACTGAGCAATCTCACCAGTCTTTTTGGGGCTTTTTGAGACAAGGTATCATGTATACCAGGAGGGCCTCAACCTTACTATGTAGCCAAGGGTAACCTAGAACTTTTTTCTTTCATTTATTATTAGTGTATATATTAGACATGTGTGAGTACAGGCTCATACATGCCACAGGCATATGTGTGGAGGTCAAGAACAACTTTCAGGCATTGGTTCTCTATGTCCACCATTGGTTCCAGGGCTTGAACTCAGGTTATTGGGCTTGTGAGACAAAAGCTTTCACTCACAGTGCTATCTCGCAGTCCCAACCGTGAA